GCGAGTCTCGGGTAAAGTCCGGGCCAGAGCCCGAACCGCGGCCCAGCGAGTGGTTGCCTTGCGGACCTGCACGTCCTACCGGAAGCCGCTCACTTATCCCTTCGCCACCACCGCTCCCTGAGCCGCTCACGACATGAGCCAGGCCCGCTGGACCGGGAAGAGAACGGACATGCTCCCGGAGATTGCTGCCGCTGTGGGTTTCCTCTCCAGCCTCCTGAGGACCCGGGGCTGCGTGAGCGAGCAGCGGCTTAAGGTTTTCAGCGGGGCTCTCCAGGAGGCACTGACAGGTGAGCCCGTGCGGAGGGTCCTGGGGCCAGTGGAACCCTGCCAGCGGGGCTCGGCGTCTTTCCTCTCCACCTAGGTCAGGGTTCCCCACTCGAGCACCTCCGGGACTCGGTACCCTCCAGCTCCTGGGACAACCCGCTGTCTACCCCGCCCCCGCTCCATTCCCTTGGGTCATGTCTCGCCTCCCCAGCCCTGCTCTCGGGTCGCGATCCGTGGTGGTGCTGGCAGGGCGCGTCCCTCCACACTGTCGCAGGCGCAGACCCTAGTCCTGAGTGCGATCCCGAGTACCCGCCTTACGCCCCCGAATAGGGGTAGTTGCGCGTCTGAGTGCGGGCTTTTCTCCCTCGCTGGACCCTGATGTCCGCGAAGGACCCTGAAGGCGACAAAGCCCGATCCGCCGATGGGGCCCTTGTGGAACAAGAAGGCGCAACTGAACCGTCTCAACAGCTCGGAGCCCAGCAGTGGTTCAGGCCTCCGGGGCTGCGCTGTGCCTGGGCCTGTTTCTGACTCGCTCGAAGTTGGAATCCGGGCCCCCTTTGTATTCTCTGGCCCCCCCTTAGCCATCTGCCACCTATTATGGCTCCGAGAGAGCCTTGTATGTAGTAACTACTCTCTATGGGCGTGCGTGTTGGGGCCGGGGGCGGTGCGGCCTGAGACCGGGGAGGCTGATGAGATAAACAGCCTCGGGCTAGGGGGAGACCTATCTCCCGGTTGCTTCTAGCTGGTTGGCCGACGGTCTTGGGCAATGATAGCCGTCCCTGAACGTGCCCACACATATCCTGCCTTCTGAGGAACAACCTATGTTTCATCAAAACATCCCATTTTTGCCTCCCTGAGCCACTGCTACAGGTCTCTGATTTTTTCGAGGAGGCAGAGGGAGCCACTGAGGCACAGAGTGGGAGACAGGATGACTTGCTGTGGGTCTGACAGTGATGGCAGCCTCCTTGGCCTTGAAACTTCAGCTCACAGGTCTCCAGAGGCCCTCCCTGGACATGCCAGCCCCAGTCGCACCCCTCCTCCTTAGACAAGAGATATGCTAAAAGCAATATGCTGGCTATAAGGGATTGCCCACAGCCCTTCCCCTTCATTCTGGTGACCAATAATACTACTATAAATGCATTTGGCTTTTTGAGTTCACATGGTATTGATATGTTGGATCACTATGTAAATTTAAAGATGTCATAAACAGCATTTATTACCTTGGTTAAAAAAATACAATATACACACACACCCCTGTGCTAGAAGGAGGGATCTTTCTGGTCCACCCCTCCCCCCCTTTTTCTTTCTGCTGCAGTGGCAGGAAAGTTTCAAGAAGGTCCTGAGATTCATGGGAAACCTTATTGCTCACGCTTAAAGTCACTGGGTCCCTTCCTCTCTTTCTCTCTCTTTTCCCCATCCCCCTTGTGGTTGCCTCCACGTCCCAGCTGTTCTTCTAACCAGGGTATACTCCCCTTGTCCTGTCTCCACAGAGCACTACAAACACCACTGGTTTCCTGAAAAGCCATGCAAGGGCTCTGGCTACCGCTGCATCCGGATCAACCAGAAGATGGACCCCATCATCAGCAAGGTGGCCGCGCGGATCGGGCTCAGCCAGCCCCAGCTGCGCCAGCTGCTGCCCAGCGAGCTGACCCTGTGGGTGGACCCCTACGAGGTGTCCTACCGCATCGGGGAGGATGGCTCCATCTGCGTCCTGTACGAGGAGGCCCCGCTGGCTGCCTCCTACGGGCTCCTCACCTGCAAGAACCAGATGCTGCTGGGCGGGAGCAGCCCCTCGAAGAACTACGTCATGGCGGTCTCCAGTTAGACCCCTGCCGCCCCACCTGGCACTCTACTGTACTCACTCTGCCATGACAACAGGCCACTGCATACCTCAACCTGGGGAACTGTATTTT